TACTTTTTATGTTTATTTTATCTTATATGGTTCAGTGTTTAAATGTGTAGCTGTTGGATTATATCAGCAAAGCAACTGATATTTGGTTCGATAAAACTGAAGCATTTCGACATACAACAGCTGAGATAAACATTTTAAACTCGTAAGCAATTTGAACTTTTAGAATGTTTTTTTAATACTTTTAAAAGTCCGTAATATATAACCGCATACATGGGCACATACATAATTACAACTATAATTATATGTGTGTGTGTGTGTGTGTGTGTGTGTGTGTGTGTGTGTGTGTGTGTGTGTGTGTGCGTGTGTGTGTGTGTGTATACATATATGTATATAATGGTAATTTAGGGTTAACAATAACTATTATCCTTTTGATTTATAATAACATCTGTTTTCAGGTGAACAGGTAAGATGATACACTAATACGTGTCTGGATATGTGGGCGTTGAACACCTGGAGCAAATTGAACACTCTGTCCAATTTGAACATCCAAGTAACTTAGACCACCAAGAACACCCAGAGAAGCGAACTTGCGGCCCCGAATTTCCCTGTGGTAAAAATCGCGTGGGAAGATCGGCGAAAATCTGCAGGTGACTCTCAGGAGAAAATAACAGGCCAGTGCATCTTCGCAGACTCCTTAAGAACATGAACCTTGTCCTTGATACCTCCTTCGCCCCCTCCTCTTCACCCCATGTTCTCCTCCTCCTCCTACAATATACCCTACCACATGCCCCTCCCCACTCTACCCATCTCTACCTCCATGCCCTTCCCCTATCCTATCCCTACCCACCCTATCCGTACCCCAAGTCCCTCCCCCTTCTTCCCCCACCCCCTCCCTCCCCTCATCCTCCCCCTCTCCTATCGTGTCACAGGTAATAATGAGAAAGACAGGTATGCTCCGTAGCGTGATCACAAACCATGTTCTTCAGTTATGTTCTCTGTTCTTCTACTCTCTTCCACGTATGCTGTTCTTTCGGTCCGTTTCTTCTCTAATGTTCCTCTTTCTCCTAATTAAAATTGATAATTGTTTTTGCTTCAAATATATGCGAGTCGGGCGTCAAGACGACAATCCCGTGTTCAGAAAAGGAGTGTCATCAATCTATGTATCATTATTATTCTTTTTTTATTGATTTTTTTTTGTTCGGAATGGTGTGTGTAATTAAAGTAATATAAATTAACATACAAATTGTGGGATAAATTTGATAAATCATCATTAAGGAAATAAGAAAACACTATTGTTTCCAATTCATTGAGATAAATCAACTTTTAACAACACGTGAAGAATGTTAGATTCCCCCAAAAAGAATGAAAAGAATAAAAATAACTCACTCACACGTACACTAATGATAAATTTATATATTTTTTGTTTTTCTTATTCGTATATTGCTTTACACACGCAAACACAAAGCCACGCATAGAAACACATAAATGAACAAATACTTAATATACAAGTGTTACCGGTATTACTGCTATGCTGGTTATCCTCACCTAAAGAAAATGTTGCAGAGTGCACGCAGTTTAAGAAGCGAAATTAAATGACGAAATAGAAAATCACCCACCCCCCCAGGAAAAAAAAGTATGAAAAAAACAAAATGTCGATTCATCTTTCTCCACAGCCACCAAAATCTTTTTCTCTCGCCGCCAACCCTCATGACTTTAACATAAAGCAGTAAGTCTCTATGCTTTTTTGTTTACATTTTTTCCCCTCTGATTCCTCCATGTGGCATTGCAGAGGCGCGTCGGATACTACATCATGAATCACGAGGGAAAAAAGGTGATGCTTACCGACCCGAGAACTCAGAGACCGCTGGGTCGTATAAAAAGAGAAAAATAATGTATATATGTATACACCTATAAAAAATCTAAATATATTGGTGTATGGAAGAATAACGGATAAAGAAATGTTTGTAATGATATCTATATAAAGTCAAATCAATATAGAAACTAATAATCACTGATAGATGTAAATCATTTTCAAAATACCTTTTCTATAAAGTTCTACGTCTTAACACCCGATTCCTTGAGACAAAACTTTTATCGTACCAATCACACAGGTCAGTGTCTTTCATGGTGGTACCGCAGAGAGGGGAAAAAAGGAAGGATGGAGGAGGGGGTGGAGAGGCGGGGGATAAAAAGAGGGGTCGCGGGTCTATTCTCATTTGTATGATAATGGCCGACACAGCTGGTCAGCCTCAGTGCCCGGGGCGGCGGCGAGGGAGGCGGCCGGGGGAGTGGCGGCGCTCGCGCTCTCTTCCTTGGCCGGTGGCGCCGCGGAGCCGAGGAAATGGAGAAGGGAGAGAAGGAAAAAAGAGAAAGTGAGGGAGGGAAATGAGAGAAGGAAGAGAGAGTGTGGGAGGGACGGAGGGAAGGAAAGGATGAAGGAGAGAGAGAGGGGAGGAGAGAGAGTGAGAAATGAACTGGACACAGTTATGGCTACTGTGGATATATGCGTAAAAAGGTCTATCATTCTTCTTGACACAACGATGTGAACAGAACGATGAAA